TTACAATGTTTGCCACCTGCTAAAAGAAATAAGATATCTTTTCCATGTTTTTTTGTCTGCCCTCGCTCTTGTTGCTTTGGTTTCTTCAGTCATGTATTGAGATGCGCTGGATCATTTGGAGTGATCATTTTGAAATTTCACCTATCATCAGAGAACTCCTGTGTTAGATGGAGTTGTTTAGGAGTCTTTTAAACAGACAAGTGTATCACAGAAACACAAGACAATAAAATATCTGTAACCTATAAATGTTTGCAAGCTTTATTTGCGTGTTTATCCCCCACAAAGGTGACCTTTTTAAATTTTTATTATACCTTTATTTAACCAGATAAAAACCCGTTGAGATCAAGACCTCTTTCAACAAGGGTGACCTGGCCAAGAAAGGCAGCAGCACAATATAAAAGACAGGAAAACAGAATGAACAAAATAGATTTGATTTTACATTACATTTACAAACAATTTGATAATAAATGACAGTGTTGTGACAGTACTTGAACACAGGCAATGTTGCCATGACATCTGTTGTTATTTTTGTATTTTCCTAAAAGCATTCAGTGAGATGAGCTCTTACTATTTTTTTTTTCTTTTTGTGTGGGCGATAATGCATTTGCCTCTCTGTGTAGGTGTGTGTCTCTGTCAACAAACTGTCTCACAAACCTCAGGACATTTTTTTAATTAAAAATTCTCAGATTAGCTGCAGATCTGATTAATTTTCCAAGTCACCCCAATTCAAGATGTTCGCCACAGTTAAGCCAGCTTTGCAAACACAGAAATGGTTGCAAACGTGTCAGTTTTAGAGGCAGAACTAACAGTTAGTGTGGCAGTACTTGTACTCCTGGCTCTAACAGATCACATGAGATCTCAGCATTGGATTGTGCATAGCATTGTTTTAAAGTTTTAACCTAAAAGGCAGAACTTATTTCTCAATATAAAATGGTTTTGGTGTAAAACCCTGGCCTTTATTTTGAAATGTGAGCTCACTTTTGCCAGCTACAGAATCAACATACTATTGAGAAGCAGAAAGATGCAGTTTCATTTTATTAATTGAATGATCACATGCAATAACAGCAATGGCTTGGAAACATTTTTGTTCATTCATATTGCAGCTGTTGGTAAATGAGGTCATATTAACTGACTTCAGATCAACAGGAACATGAGAGAAATCTTCTGACTTCAATATGCTTTCCACGCTTATTAACAAACCCTCCGTAGATTTTAAAAACAGTTTTACAAATTCTTTTTTGATTACTAAATCACTTATTCTGCTTCTCACTGCAGTCGTCCTCTGTATTTTCCCTAACTCATAAACCAGATGATAGGTCTGCAGTTGCAACGTAATATTTGTCTCAGTCTGAATAAGTTGATGGAACAAAATTGCATTTCGTCTTCGCGAGTGTCTGATGCAAACATCTGTCCTCCAACACAGATCTGTCACTGTGATGTGGCGGTGGGGGGGCTGTGGGGGTGGATTTATCTTCTTTAGATGTCAGAGACTGACTGCTGAATGTCACGATGCTGGGAGCACAACATTCAAACCAGATTCTTTTCTTCCCAACCGATTTTTTTAAAAACCCGCAGCGTGATATTTTGTCATTGCTACAAAATTGCTTATGACAACCGTGCATGTCAGATAATTGAGCTGAATCATTTTTCTTTTTTTTTTTTAAGTATTGGGACTTTCTAGTGGGATTTAAAAGCAGTGCTTAAATTCTCAAACAATTTATTAAGTCATGCAGTTATTTGACTTGTATAAATTAGAAGAATTAGTTAGTAAAATAGATTTAAATGACTCCGACTTAGAAAGGAGAACATTTCAGTGTTTTTCTCAGGGCGGCTGCAGAAGCTTGCAGGTCAGCAGCAGCCTTATAATCCTGAGGCCACAGGAACTGTGGTGACCTGGGCAGAAGGAAGCAGCCAAAAGAACTTAATTTATGGCAGCACAATGCCACTCTTTCAAACACACACTTTAAGTGTCTTGTAGAGTTTATCCAGTTTTGTTTGATTGTTGTTGATTGGAGCTGGAAATTTGTAGCTGTTTTGTTACTGAAGCTACAAATACACTGAAACAATCCAACCAGTGCAAATCCAAATGAACAAATTACAAATTACCTGTGTTTTGCACAGAATGGAAAAAAGAAGGTGGAGAAAAGAGTTTATACATTTATAAATTTGTTGGTGTGGGATCGAAAAGGTTAATATGTTAAAATAATCTGAAAACAGAAAGCTAAAAAAGGGAAAGTTTAAAAAAGGTTCTTTTTTCACAGTTTTTTGCTAAAACCTGTTGCTTATCTGGTGATTTACGATCCCATTCTAAAAAGTCGAGCAAAATTGTGTTTGAGAAAGACTTTGCCAGTGGGAGTAAATAAGCTGCACTTGTATGAAACCTTTCTAACCTTGGCTTGGCTCCACAAAACACTTTACAGCACGCTTTTCATTCTCTCACACGGGTTCTCATCATTTGCCGTTCTCCACAGGCAGAGCTTCCCTGGCTGTTGTACACCACACTCATTTACTCCAGCAAGTTTCTAACAGGTTGACGATGTTGCCCAAGGACACTTCAAACCTGAAGGGTCTGGAGATCGAAGTGCCGACCTTCAGACTACACTTCAGATCTTTTACTCTCACTCAGATCCACCATTCATGACAAATTTTTTCTTTTTGTTCTATTGATGAACAAAACAAGAAAGTCACAAGGATGGAAGATAAAAACATTTCCTAAAATCAAACCCTTAACGAACAAAACAACAAAAAAAGATCAACCTAACTTACATGAAAATTAATCATCAAAAGCTAAAAAAATCTAAACTGAAACCAAACATTATAATAATTCTACTGTTTTATTAAATTTATTAACAATAAAAATATCATGTAAGGTTTTCTTTTTAACAAAAGAAGTTGTTAGCGTCTAACTATTAAATTTTCTACTAATCTTTCTTTCTTTCTTTCTTTCTTTCTTTCTTTCTTTCTTTCTTTCTTTCTTTCTTTCTTTCTTTCTTTCTTTCTTTCTTTCTTTCTTAAAAACAAAAGTAATCTATACACAATAAAAGACAAAACAACACAAGTCATGAATCAAATGGAGCAGAGAGAAGATAAAAATAATCTAATTGCACTCTGTTTCTTCCAAAACTACATTCAAACAACTATATTATTAGTTTACAGACTCAAGTGCATTTATAAGATTTTCAAATAAAATCAAAAAACAATATCCATCTTATTTAAACAACAGTTTACCTTGATATATACTACATGGTATATGTATAAACTAGCTTTTATCATCTTTTTAAACAAATACCCTAAGTTGTTCTGGAAGTTTTAATATCAGTATCTAGATTATTACATTTGTTCTTGAATTCAAATACATATTTCCTTCAGACTAGGTTGAAATTAGGTTTTGATTCTGTACATAAGTTGTTTTTAAGCTAAACAGGAGTTAGACAATGAAACTGAAACACTTGTCATTTTAGTGTGTGTGTGGGGGGGGGGGGGGTTATGGCTAAATTGGACCAGCCTGGTGGCCAGTCTTCATTAATTGCACATCGCACCAGTAAGAGCAGAGTGTGAGGGTTTAATTAGCAGGGTAAGAGCACAGTTTTGCTCAAAATATTGCAATGCACACATTATGGGTGACATTGATGTGTTGTTGCTGCCTGCACACAGAAATGGAGCAGCAGGCAGATATTTCAGCTAGGAATTAGGTGTGTTGCTCAAGGACACCGCAACGTGTTGGCAAGGTGGGGAAATGAAATTGTGACTTTCTGGCCCCAAGACGACTGGAAGCAGCAATCACATAAGGATGAACCGAACAATATGTGTCAGACCCATATGACCTGCAAACCTTCCACACAGTTCAAATCCTTTTTCTTCTGTTTTATTTTTTGGCACATATGTTGTTCTGCAATTTTTATGCTATTTCAACAATTAATGCGATACGAAAATGATTCATTTCGTCAGGACATTCTGGCTATGACTTCTTGTATTTCAGCAATTCATACTCATGAAGGTTTTGTGGTGATGTTTTACCTCATTAAAAATGAATCTATTCTGTTGATTTTAGCTTTTTTCATTTTGACCTGTACTGTTATTCTTCTACTTTTTAAATTTTTTTTAGCTTCTGTTCGCTTTTTATTTTTTTTGTGCTTTTTTTCAGCTGTGTTCTGCTAATTTCAACTATTTTGTGTGTTTTAAGCAAAATTTTTAGCTAATTTGAGCGTTTTTCAGCTAAATTCACCTTTTTGTAATAATTTCAGTTTCTTACTGCTTAATTCAGCAAATGCTTTTTCTGGGTTTTTTTTTTGGTGCTAATTTCATCTTTTTCAGCTTTTTTTTTTTGGCTAGTTTTAACTTTTCTTTGGGTATTTGGCAAAGATCTTTCAGCATTAAGCACTCACACCACACTTTTGCAGGAAATGCAAATTCTCCACTTGCTATATACTTTCGTTTAGTCACCACTGCGACATTAAAGCACACAGCCATGACTCTGTTGTGACTCTCCATGTCGTGATGAGTCCCTGATTGTTGACATATTGTTGCATCTTCCTGCAATCAAAGCACGTGATGGATGGTGACAAGGTGATTGCTCAAGGAGACGGTGCCAGACGATGTCATCCTTCCCTTTATTCTCACCCTGTCACGTGTCAAGTGTTTGGTTAGATCTGTTTGTGCACTGCGACTCACACAAACACACTTCCATTACTGTCTAAACATCAGTAAAAAGCACAAGCTGTTGTGGCTGAACTCAAGCTTATGTGTCTTTGTCCTTTGGGATGACATATTTTCTGTAGATTTGTGGGAAATTTGACCTTAAATCAGCCTGAGTGCATCGGTGCAGGATGTAGAAAAGAGTAAATTACTGAAACAACACTCTTTTTGTTGAGACTCATAGCAGGCCTTATAAAATGTGTCCCACCTTTGTTTTGAGTTTTTGAAAAAGTCTCATCTGACGCTCATAGTTTTAAATCTACATGAGTTCCTTGAAGCTTTTTTTCCTTTTTTTTTTCATCCAGTCTGAACCCGTACAGCTACGATGAGAGCTGCGTATCCAGTAGCGTCGACCACCTGCCTCTGGCTGCCCTCCCGCTCCTCGCCATCGTGTCGCCACGCTACCAAGACGCTGTGGCGACCGTCATCAACCGGGCCAACCAAATTTACCACAACTTCCTGCAGTCGGAAGACGGCCAGGGATTCACAGGGCAGGTCTGTATGCTGCCTTCTGTTCAGAGTGGGGGGAAAAAAGGAGAGGTGAACTCTGCCATGTTAATATCAGTGAAATATGGGCCATAACCAGAGAAGTAAAAATTCCTTATTAGGTTGTGTGATCTATGACAAGTGTTGGAGCGTAGCTTGTTCGAAGGCTTTAGACCTCTATTACCACATATCCCTCTCTTGTAAAGCATAACTGCGTGACCCTTTATGACATTTTGTATTTTCCAATGAGGTAATAATGTGTGAGAAGAAGGTTCACTCAGGTGGTAAACTGAGAATTTACTGGAAAGTAAATCCCTTTTTTCACTTAAACCAGGAAACTATTGGAGCTCACCATTTTAGGTCAGCAGCTACAACAGAATCAATGGGCCTCATGCAAGAACCGTTCGTACGCACAGATTTGTTCTTAAGTTGTGCGTACGAGTGATTTAGGAGAATTTGTGGCATTCA